CGGTTGAATTAGGTAGGGTGGTAGGAAGACGCGATTTTGGATGGGGTGGCCAGCTCGGCCGTGTGGCCAGCTCGGCCGTGGATTACGTTATACCAACTTCTCGGTAATTTGGGTAAGCCATACAACTCAACCAACCCGCATTTGGCGAGGTCTATTACCGGAACGGCAATGGGGTGGGTATTCCAGATTATAGAGAGCAGGAAAAAAAAATAATACTGTAAAATGATTGTGTCTGCACGAAAAGGTTATACCAAATTCTTCCCCTACGAACTAGCAAGTCAAATTTCTCCCCAAGCTATAGGAGCATAATTTATGTCCACAATTCCAATGCCGCGTTGTCATTGTGGCTTCCAGTGCCCATCGGGTCTCGAGTTTCCACATTGAAAGTATCACCCTAACGGGTGAATACGAAACTTGGAAAGCACACGGCCAGAGCTCTTTCCGGGGCTGGTAATGAAATCGAAAGACGTTACGGGTCTCGTGGTCTTCATGCCTTCAGTTTACACCCTGGCGGAATCTGGAACAAATTATTGCGCCACGTCTCGGATAAACAGAAGGCTACCTGAGCCAAGGATGATGTTGTGTCAAACTACTGGAAAATCCTAGAACAACCAGCAGTCATGACTGCGCGGGGTGGTTGTGACGAAGGATTTAAAAGGCCAGGCAGGAAAATACTTGGATAACTGTCAGATTGATAGGCCGCATGATACCACTAAAGGGAACTACACTCCCGGATAAGCTCTGTGGCCATATGATGTAGGCGACGGGTCAAGGCCTTGGGAAAAGACATTGAAGATGCTACAACCGAACGACGGATGATGCACTGGAGCTCGGATCTCATTGCCGAGAGCAGAATGTTATCAGATAAAAGGGAAATACATCTATTCAGTAAACAAAAGCAACGCATAGCTTCGAAGAGTTTAAATTCCTATGAATATGGTGCTAGAATCATTGTTAGAGTACTTCTCAACAGATGAACCGTCGAATTGTCGACACTACCGAACGGCCTATTTTGTATCCCGTAGTAAATTCTATCTCCCATGTATCAGCCAATCTAAGTTCGTTGCGACAGATACATGTACTTTACTTCGAAGTTGTATTCAACAGTCAATCGGACATTTAATTTGTATACTAACTCTATTGAGTTTCCGGGTAAGTTGAACTGAAGCATCATTTTTTGTATCATCATTGTAAGACATAGACAAGGATATTTCAAATTTACAGCATAGGCTATAACTTCACCAGTTCGGCTTCGGTGGCGGCAGAAGCCTCCTGTATGAATAAGTCCTATAAGGTCAGCTACAAGGTGGCACTTCACGTGCCACTTCGCCATTTGAGTTTTTTGTTATTCGAGGCATTCCTGGTATACGAAACCCAATTGCCTTAGTTGGCTAGCTCAATAAGAGGAGAGATAAGAGGAACACTAGGTGGAAGAGCGAATATAGGCCGACAAAATAATAGAAAACGACAGGTCCCTGCACCCATTTCTAAAGCTGCCACTGAATGAGAAGTCGGGAGGCCTAGTATCTCTACCAAAACCTTGCTCATGCCTAAGTCATTTGAAACCCGGGCTCCAAATGAGTTCCAAGTACCATATTACGACCATCACGGGAAAGAGGAAATACCGAAATACCAGAAAAATACCACACAGAAATGCAATGCAAAGGTATCTGGCTAAGGAAACTCAGCTCGTTTATTTTCAGTCCTCTTGGTACTCTTCAAAAGCTCCTTACATCTCATTTTCGGTACAGAATGCAGTCACCAGCGATTCTGTTGCAGAATTCCCGAATGGGTCATTGTTATTTGAATCCTCAATCGATTGAAACTCGCAAATGGAAGCCTCCAAATCTCTGTCACTCCAACCAAGATCCAATGGCACGAAGCCGGAAATATAATACTGCAGACAATTTCACCCTCCCACCTGGAGAGAGCAGTTTTGGTCTGACAACGGTCCGATGGTAAGTGGCTACTCGGCAATATAATCTCCCCATATTTCCGGGCTGGGTAGTCAGGGTTGGCATGGATATAAGAAAGGAGCATCATGCAATGAAAATATTGGTAAGACATGCTTGTCAGCAGACAATCACGATCTTCAAAGTCTGACCTTGGCACCTCTAATATATTTCTAACCCTGGTCATAAGTGAAGTTCTTTGTGATGTGTACAATAAAAATTGACGTCCCTTGAGCCCCTATAATGTTTACCAGTGGCATGCTGCACCTAGCACTAAGGTTTTGTTTCGGCAAAGACCTGTGGCCATTGGATTATTAGTTGATCCTGCAGTGGAATACCAGATACACACTTCTGGAGCCGGTTAACCCAGCCAGATTTTGTATTAACTAGAATATAGTTCAAACAGGCTTAACAAGTAAAACGTCGAGCAATATGATAGTCACTTCGGTATAGATTTGGGTGAAGGCAGGGGGGATAGGTACTCCTTGGCTGGTTATTCGACTAATAAAAGTGAGTCCAGGGACCCTCACTCGTAACTGCCGCGCCATTTCAGATAACCGGTGCAATTGTTCAAATGAAGAAGAAGGTGACTAGACAAAATTTATCCCGTAGGATTGCTGTAACATAGTCCCGGCTTTAATGACATGAAGCGGAACTCACATGCCGACCTTTAATTTTCATTTCGAGTTGAGTAGACAAGCGGATCAATTTTTTTTTATTGTTTTGGTACAGTCTTTCTCTAAAGTTCCGTTAACATTAATATGAAATAAATTATCCACTTGTGTCTCCTATTGGCCAAAATAAGACATTTTGAGAATACTATTTTCAATAGTATGGCCCAAACCAGTTATCCACATTGCCCGCATTACCTAAGCCCCAGATTGCCGAACCTACAAGTCTGGCTCTCACTTGGGAATTCCCCAGCCCGGCATAGTTGTTTACGAGCGTTTCAAGATTACCATCCTTAGATACGGCAATGATAGAGAGAAACTTATAAAATCCGCGATCCCTGGGGCTGTATGAGTTCCAGGACGAAGGGAACACCATTTTCCAACAAGAAAATTGAATAAACCTTCCACCTTCTCCACAACGTGAGGTAACATTCTTAACTACTATGAGCAACATGTCCACTACCACTGGCGACGAGAACCACCATGAGCCAATCATTCCAACACCTTCTCCGGCAAAAGAAATCAATCCATTGCAACGCATCAAAACAGCAGGAAGTGTTTCAATCCCGCCAGAACTGTTCGAACAGCTGTACCTTTCCCCTCACAATCGAGTCAAAGGCGAATTGCGACAGACCTTCGGAAATCCTACTCCAATCGGTACTCTTATTAATTTTGGCTCCTATTCTGCTTGATTTCCGCCTCACTGACTCTTAGACAGCTTTGGGTGGCTTCCTGATCTGTGCTACACCATTCTCGATGGTGACGTTGGGTTGGGATGGCGCAGGTGGTCTTGACGCTGCAAATGTGTAAGCACAATATCTGAGTGAAAGATACTGTTTAGCTAACAGCTCATAGTGGCTCTCTTGTATTTATGGGAGGTCTTCTATTGATATTAGGAGCCGTTGGGGAATGGATCCTAGGTGATTGACGGAAATGACCATCAATTGTTACTCTCGCTGATGATAAGTCCCAATAGGCAATACTTATCCTGCCACAGTATTTGCAATATTCGGTAAGTATTACTCATACTATCGTGTCTGGTTACCTATGGTCGTCTTTAGACGTGGCCTAGCGTAAAGTTTATTGGTATTGATGATCTGGTCAGGGGGATTCTGGTTTTCATTCGGCGCTACCTTACAACCTAGCTTTAACGCGTACGGCGCCTACTCTCCAGATCCTTCAAATCCAGCTAAGGGTATGAACGCCGAGTTCTTTGCCACGTTTGCGTTTTTCATGGTGGCAATCTTGATTGTCCTCACAGTACTCGGCATCGCAAGCATCCGAACAAATGTGAGCTTATTTTCGTTGTTTGTTGTCTTCATCCCTGCAGGTAGGTAAATGAGATGAAATTCATTCAAGTAGATTATATTAGCTAATTTGGCCAAAGTTGGCTGCCTTACTGCATCTTTTTTCGCTATCGCTCGCGGTGACGCTGTCTACGCCACAAAGCTTCAGCATGTCGGTGCAGGTCTGCTGCTGGCTGCGAGTTTGATTGGATTCTACATATTCATCGCCCTCGTACTTGCCTCGGTCGATTTTCCAATTGCAATCCCCCTTGGAGATTTATCTACAGTTATAAAAGGGGCAAATGAAAAGTCGAGAAAAAGAGGGAGGGCTGAAATGGTTTAATGCATATTATGTCAGCCGGATATCAAGTTTTATGCAGTCCAAGTCGCTTCTGAAAAATTGAAACAAGGTTGAATACATTCTGAACAATTATAACGAAAAGTAATAATCGAATGATGTGTATCTCTCGATTTATTGCGCGGCTTTCAAATATCATGGTAAAAGTGATAGTATTCAGGATTTGGTTGTCTGGTGGGAAGGTGTCTCTTTACTAGACGAGACAATAAGTATGGGGAGGAATAAAAGTAAGGCTTACAGATGCCCTTATCGGATCCAGTATTTATCTATACCTGCAATCGTGACCTTGAGCTTACCTCCCACGTCAGTGATTGACTTCAAGTTTTATATTAGATGTTTATACTCAGTCTCAGGTACTCTAGAAATTCTCTCTAATTATTTCTATCCTCTCTGTTTGTTGAGTCGTACATCTGCAAAGTTGGTGAATTATTTTTAATTCTGCCGAGATACGATAGCGGCATTATTTTATGACAGATAGTCGTATTTATGGAGGTATGTAATTAGGCCCGATCATTTTGGGTGACTATTCGAACGGTACTCCATGATGATTCATGGATTCTCTCCAGTCTCTCTATTGACGTCTGCTTTAAAACCTGCCTTAAAACACCCTGGCCTCGCTCCCTTTGTCTTTCAAATCTCTCTATATGACCAGCCGTACAGAACCACCTTGAGTAATAACTATTACTTCTCACCTCTGATTCTCCCACACTCAAAGCCACCAATCAACTACAAAATGGCGGCCCACCAACCAACGCCGTCATCCGACCACTCGCACTCCGGTGATCTTCGTCAGCACGTGTGCAAGGCTTGCGATCGCTGCCGCCTGAAGAAGTTTAAGGTATGTGACCCGTCACCGTAGAAGGGGAATTAACAGCCAAAGTTGGCTTTTCTTAAGTGTGATGAAAGTAGCCCATGGAACATACAACGCGATTTGCGTCTTTGGGGAGCGCAAGAAGAGTCATAAGGTCTATCCGAAGTGGTGAGTATTGGGAACAAAAAGATCACAAGCGTCCCACCCAGCTGACACAATCTTCTTCTTCTTACTCTTTTGCAGATACGTTGAAATGCTCGAGGAACAGCAAATGTGGCTTATTCACGACCTAAAAGAATTGTACCGCCGCAGCATAGATTTGAGCGGACCGCCAGGCCAGCCTTCGCCAAATGGTTACCCGCTCATCCATGACCTGCTTATGCGGCTTGGCACTCTCGATAATTTCGAAGGCGAAAGATTTGGAGACAATCCGGGAAAGTGGCAGATGGAGCATTGGCGCAACGGCATGCCGAAAATCCACTGGCCAGCACAAACGTATCCTCAACAGCTGGCCCAGGTGCTCTCAAGCTGTCCTGCTGACGTTATTTCACGGCGGACTGTGTCGCCGATTATACGCACCGGCAGCCCAACCTTCTGCACCTCTCCCTTGGGAAACATAGAAAAAAACCCTAAAAACACCAAGTCCACGCTACAAAGTACGCTCACGGCGCAGTCCCAACGCTCTATATACGTGCAGGAGTGGGTCGACCCGTTTGAAATACAAGATAAACCACAGTGGTCCCCGGATAGCGTCATGCTCAAATCATTCGACGAGATAGACGTCGTGCGCTCACTGGATTCTGTTCCTCTCAAATTCGACAAATTTATTCCGTTCCCAATGTTCTTGCCAGATTCCCAAGAATTTTTTACACGCTATAAGTACAAGGACTTTAACAATCTTCTAGGACCGGAATCCGACCCCGATCCTTCGTCCTACTCACGGACTCAGCAAATGTCCAATTGAGATAGCGGCACCCAAAAGGATAGCGAAAAATGCATCCGTGCCCTGTACCGTACTTGCCCATTATTGTTTTCTGTCGGTAATTGCAACCATTTTACCACAGTTTATCTTCTATCATTCTTTGTTCCCCCGAATTTTCTACAAGATTTGTCTCAATAGTCCTGCATGATAATCTCTTAGTTGTTTGCCGTCCAAGGGAGGAGTGGGCGTCGATTATCAGGTCCTGGTCCTCTAACTCCAGAGTCGATGCTACATAAGTAACTCATAGAACCTTCCTTCTTGATGGTTTGATTCACACTAAATCAATTAATTGGCTCATTTTTTTTTCATTTCGTCTTATAAAAATAGCTTTGTCTTATAGAGACAAGATACTCCGCTTACCAGTTAGACCCGCCCAGTGCGACCCGGCCCAGTCTACCCTCCACGAGAACGTGCTACGCAAAACCTGGCTGGATTCAAAGAGACTGTTTGTACAGCTACGTCATAAGTCTTTAAATGAACCAACCTTATTGCAGGTCCTTAGCTGTAACAGAATCATACAGTGAACTCCGCTTTTAGACAGCATAACATTGAGTCAACTATCGACGAGACACTCGACCTCCTTATCTAACTCAGAAAAACATGGGCACAGCACAAGCATGGAGTCAAGCACCCCAGCTTAATACAACTCAGATAATGAAACATAGTCCGATGTGCTGTTGAAAAGATATCAATCACCCGTATATCACAGTAATAATAAGCATGATCTAACCCAAGGGACCTGGAGCTTTGGGGCCCAAAGCTCAGCGGTGAAGAAGGCTTATATATGGGCAGTATTTAGACCCACCGACCCTAAAGCCCTCTTTTTTCCTGACCCCAAAGCCCAGAATTTCCCTCGTATGATTTATCTCAAACTTTTATAAGTTCTAATCTTATATATATATTATCTCTAATTTTATTCTTAGCCTCTATAGTCTTCTGTAGCAGTCGTACAACCTAACCCTAAATTATCTAAAACCCTTAATTTGTTTTAATAGGGTACAACCGGGAGGGTCTACTCTAGGGATCTAGATCTATACTCAAAACTTTTTATATAGGTTATTTTTAATATCCATCCCTGAATATATATTATTACTTAATAAGTTACTTTCTAGTACTTTTGTATATTCTCTAAATTTTAATAACTAATATAGAAACTAATATCTAGACATCGCCATAACCCATTTTGGGTTGAACATGCCGACCCAAAACCCAGTGGGTTGGGTTTTGGGTTATAGTAGCTAGAACCCAACCCAACCCAAAACCTAGTGGGTTATAAATGGGTAATCTATTTCGACCTATTTGGACCTATTTTAGCATAATTTTTCATAATTTTTCATAATTCTTATGTACTGTATTTGAATACCAGTTCTATATCCTTTTTTCTAGAAGGATTTAGAACTTAATATTTTATATATAGCTTTGTCTAATATTAATTATTCTATGTTTAAAATTTAGGATCTAAATATTAAGTATTAAAAAAGTTATTAAGAAAGTAAGACTTTGTATAAAGATATATATATAATCTAGTAGGGTATACCACTATCTTTACTATAGAACTCTGTAATTTATTTTATTTTTTAATATACTATTCTTGTCACAGGATTCCGAGTATACAACACCTCAGACACTCGACGCCGATCCGAAGCCGAATCCCCTTCGAGTTACCTGTATATCGAGGCCCACCCGAACCCTAATATATTTAAGATCCCACAAGTATTTAGGATTCTTGATCTCTTCAAGAATCAGTCTGTATATTAACTGTCTAATCTGATCTCTACTATCCGATATCCTTGCCTAGTCACAGGTCTCTAGCCTAATAACTTAGTAACCATTATAATTCTGATTCTTCTTTATTAACTACCTAAGGATTAAAGATGGTACCCTCTATGTAGACATCGCCAGAACCCATGTCAACCATGACCCAACCCAACCCAACCCAGCCCAAAATGGGTTTTGGGTCCAATTCTATAACCCATTGATGGGTTTTGGGTTGAGGCCCTTAACCCAAAACCCACATGGGGACCCAGTGGGTCCCCATTTTGGTGTAAACAGGACAAATATACCAAGCCTTCAAATACTGTATGTATCAGCGCTGTTTTAGGGCCTTATATATAGGTATTTTTAGTTTTTTATTTAATAATATTATTATTCTATATTAAAAATATATATATTACAGGTTAAAAGGGTTAAAAATAGTATATTAAAAAATAAAATAAATTACAGAGTTCTATAGTAAAGATAGTGGTATACCCTACTAGATTATATATATATCTTTATACAAAGTCTTACTTTCTTAATAACTTTTTTAATACTTAATATTTAGATCCTAAATTTTAAATATAGAATAATTAATATTAGACAAAGCTATATATAAAATATTAAGTTCTAAATCCTTCTGGAAAAAAGGATATAGAACTGGTATTCAAATACAGTACATAAGAATTATGAAAAATTATGAAAAATTATGCTAAAATAGGTCCAAATAGGTCGAAATAGATTACCCATTTATAACCCACTAGGTTTTGGGTTAGGTTGGGTTCTAGCTACTATAACCCAAAACCCAGTGGGTTAGGTTTTGGGTCAGCATGTTCAACCCAAAATAGGTTATGGCGATGTCTACCTCTATGCGTTAAAACCCTGTATCCTCTTGCGATAGCGCTTATTCTAAACCCGCTACGCCTCCTCCGGCTATTCGACAGCCCGAAGTTAAATTAATCTCGGATCAACCTAGAACCCCTATCAAACCCGAACCGGACTAGATATCTATCTATAAGACTGCCAAACGTATCGTTGATATATCGTTATCCCCTCCCCCTATACAGGATATAGATCTAAGGAATTACGAGTAAACCTATAACTAGAAGCGTTACAGAACTTGATCAAGAGGGCCTAAAGAAAAAGAAGTATAAAATTAAGCACCCTAAGAAGTTCCTAGTAGTTTATATACATTTTAAGGAACTTACTGCTTAAGTCTCTAAAATTTATATAGAAGACTTCTTAAATAGTCTGCCTACAAATTATAGGTAAATTAAAGCTAAGAAATACAAGAAAGTAGAGGGTTTTAAGGTTAATAAGTTTAAGAGATTATTCAGTATTTAAAAGTAAGGAAATTAGCTCTTCTAACTTAGTTACGTCTTCTAAGATAATTCTAGGGTTTACAAGGATAAGGAGATAAAGATCCTTGTAGGAGTTAAGTACCTTAATTCTAATTATAAAAATAATTAGACTGCAGAAGAGAAATAGCTTAAGGATAATAACGATAAATACCTTAGTAACTAGAAGTACTTTAAAGACTAGACTCTTACTCTGATATATAATAAAAATATCTTTACTAGAGAAGTTAGCAATAAGATAAAGTACTATTACTAACAAATTAATAAAGAACCGAAGACTTTTTACTATTATCTTGTAGATCTAAAGCGTTATCTACCCTAGGTATCCTAAGATAAATAAGCTTACTGTTATATATTAAAGCTATAACAGTAGTTAACCCTATATATCTAATAATATATAAAGAATATATCTACTACTTATATAGAATAGGTAGAAGAAGTACAGAGTATATAGGAATTTAATAAAGCAAAGGTACAAAAGTATAATCTATTTAATAATAATTCAAATTTAAGCTTAAAATACCTATAACTTAATAACTTATTTCTAAACCAGTCTAATAGTAAAGAATAAGATTAAAAGGGTCCTAAGTATTTATATCTAAGAAGCTTTTATAGTCCTAGATTAAACCTAAATTAAAATAACTTTAATTTAAACCCAAATCAAAATAACTTTAATTTAAATCTGAATCAAAATAACTTTAATTTAAATCTGAACCTCTCTTGTTTCAGAAACAGACCTTACCTATTTCTCTCTTAAAATAAAGATAATTCTAATTATACTTCTGTTACTAGAATTAGTCTATCTAGTTTCTTTAATAAAATACTCTCTAGCTTTTATTTTAACTATAGTAAGCTAGGTTACTAGGTAAGTAAATATTATTTACCGCTAAAAGCCCTAGGAGCTAGGATCTAGAAAACCTACTTAAGGCCCTAGTACTATTATAACGATACTTAGTTAAGAAGCTTAGGAAAAGTACTAAAGTCGAACTAACTTCTATAAGTTCTAACTTCTGGCCTTAAGTAGGAATAGTTATCTGTCTATATTCTAATTTACGTCTGAAATAATATCGAAATATATACAGATATTAATATCTACGTAGAGGTAGATCTTATTAGCTATAAATTTGTCTAGAAATATTACTTTGATTAAGTAAAGTATAATACTTCTCTTTTAGAAGTAGTAGGCCGATAAGATATCCCTACCTACAGTGTATAGATTATTCTAATTATTATATATAACTCTTAAGGAACTAAATAAGAGTTCTTACGTTCTTATATTATAGTCAACAGAGATCCCTGTCTATCTAGGTCCTCTATACTGTTATTAAATATAACTATTTAGGAAATACGAATTATATTAGTCCTATAGTAAAAATAGTAGTAGTTCGAATATAAGAAAGAGATAATAGAGTAGTTAGAACCTTACTAGTTTATAAAAGTATATAGAAACTAAGCTTATATATTTATAGTTATTAAAATATCTAAAGAAGTCTAGCTTCCTCTAGAAGAAGAAAAAGAATTAACTATAAATTAGGATTAGATTCCTTCTGAGTTATTAACGTTTTAGAATATATTTAAGGTGTAAAACTCTAAGATTATACTGCTGCAGAAAGAAACTAATTATTTAATTAATCTTAAAGAGAATACGTTACCTCTGTATAGCCTAATCTACCCCCTCTTATAAGCAGAACTTATAGAGTTATAGAAGTATTTTAACAAAAATCTAAAGAATAGTTAAATCTAACCCTCTAAGAGCCCTATAGGTATACCTATCCTATTTATACCTAAGAAGGATAGAGGACTATACCTCTACGTTAATTATTAAGAATTAAATAAAGTTTCTGTTAAAAACCAGTACCCTCTGCCCCTTATCTTAGAGATTCTTAACTATCTTTCTAGGGCTAGATTCCTTAGTAAAATAGACGTACAGAATATATACTATCAGATTTATATTTAAGAAGGAGAAGAATAGAAGACAGCTTTCTGTATAAGATATAGCTATTTTAAATATATAGTTATACCCTTTAGCCTTACTAACGTATCTGTAACGTTTTAAAGTTATATCTATACTGTACTCTATAGCCTTCTTAACACTATTTATATTATATACCTTAATAATATTCTTATCTTCTTAAAGATATATAAAGAGTATATAAAATATCTAAGTCTTATACTTAAAAGACTATAGAAAGTATAACTATTCGTTAAAGTATTAAAATATAGCTTCTATAAGCTATAAGTTAAATTCTTTAGCTTTATTATTAGTTAAAATAGTATCTTAATAGATCCGGAATAAGTTTAAGCTATTTAAGAATAGAAATAGCTAACGTCCTATAGGGATATTTAGGTCTTTCTTAGATTCTATAACTTCTATTAAAGATTTATCGAAAAATACTTATTAATTACGTTACTGCTTATAGAACTCCTTAAAGAGAGTAAAGACAGAAAAAAACCAGAAAGCATTAAACTAAACGATAGAGAATTAAAGATATTTTAAGATCTTCTCTATACCTTCTTAACTATATTCCTTCTTTGTTACTTTAATCTAGAAAGGCCTATTTAACTTAAAACTAATATATTAGGTTTTAGAATAGCTAGAATCCTCTTATAACCGGACAACTAGGGAATATAGTACCCTATTATATTCTAATCTAAGAAGTTCTTATCTACAGAACAAAATTATATAACGTCAGACTAACAGCTATTTATAATTATTTATTTCTTTAAATACTAGCGTTAATACCTTAAAGGAAGCCGGTACTAAGTTAAAGTTCTGACTAATTATTATAATCTAAGGCTCTTTATAAACTAACTAAAGATTAATAGAAGATAGGTATGTTAGTATCTCTTCCTTACCTCTTTTAATTTTATAATATATTACTACTTAGGTAAGATAAATCCTGTAGATAGATTATCTTATACCCTAGGAGAAGAGAAAGCTCTATCTGCAGAAAAGATATTAGGACTAATTTATAAGAGAATTATAGCTAAATTATTTATAAAAGTACAGTAGTTTACTATTAGTATAAGACTATCTAGAGAGAAAAGTAGAGAGAAATAGAAATCAATAAGTATAACTATATTAGTCTGTAGAAGTCTATTACTATCCTTCTCTCTAACTATAAGTAGCTTATCTAGTAACCTAGAGTCAGAACTAAACTAGGTTCAGAATAATACTGCTGTCCCTATAGATTAGAAGAATCTAGGGAAGACTATAGATAAGTCTAGTAAAGCTAATTATTTAGATCTAGAGGATAATCAAGAAGCTTTTCTAAGTTAGGGCTATAATATAACTAAGTTTCTCCTAAGTTAGGGCTATAATATAATATATTATAAGGTTTTAAGTTACTCTTAATTTATACTCTCTTAAATAGTATTTACTATAGCTATAAATAAAGATCTACTTACAGATAAATCCCTAAGGGAACTAAAAAGATTAATTAAGAAGCTCTAAGAAAATAATAAAATAGTTTAAGAAAGAACTAATATAATTATCGTAGGTAATTTAAAAGAAAAATACTAAAGTATTAACTCTAAGAAGCTATTGTATTATAAGGATTATCTCTATATTTTTATTAAAGGAAAATTAAGAAGAAAACTAATTAAACTTTACTATAATAAACAGCTTATAGAATATTTTAGAAGGACTTATATAGAAGAGCTGTTAAAAAGAAAATTCTATTAGGAAAAGCTACTAAAAGACGTTCGAGAATATATCGAAATATATCCGATATACTAGAGAGTTAAAGCTCTAAGGTATCAACCTTATAGTAAACTCTAATCTCTCCTAATTCTCTATTAGCTATTTATAGAGCTAAGTATAGACTTTATAACAGAACTTCTGATTATAATCTTTAAAGAAAGAGAATATAATATAATCCTAGTAGTTATCTGCTAACTTATAAAATTCTCTTAATTCCTCTCTATATTAATAACGATATCTGTAGGAGATCTTACCAAACTCTTCTTTAATTAAATTAAACTTAAATACAGAAACCTAGAGAGAATTATATCTAATTAAGGCCCTATCTTTATAAGCAGATTCTGGTTATAACTCTGTTACTATTTAAAGATTAAACTATAATTCTCTATAGTATTCTATTCTTAAACTAATAGTCAGACAGAAAGACTTAACTAAGTTCTAGAGGATTATCTTAGGTATTTTATTAATAGAAAGTAATTAAATTAGGCTTAACTTCTTAAGATAGTACAGTTTATATATAATAATACTGTAAATATATTAACTAATAAGATCTCTTTCTGTATACTACTAGAATATAATCCTAACTTCTAAGTCTAAGCCCTAAAGGAAGTACTTAAGAAAGAAGCCCTAAGTACTAAAGAATAGGTAATTTACCTTTAAAATATTCGTAAAAAGGCCTTAAGAAAGCTTCGAATTATACAGAAAATACAGCAGAAGTTATACAACAAAAATTATAAACTAAAAGACTTTAAGGTTAGAACTCTTATATTCCTTTTAATAAAGAATATCTGCTTTCAAGCTAAAGAGAAGAAGTTATCTCCCTAATAAATCAGACCCTTCTGTATCCTTATAAAGATTAGCGTATAGATATATTATATTATATTACCAGAGAAATACTTAAGATTATATAACGTTTTCTCTGTCTTCCTTCTTAAGCTATAGAACAGCTAAAATAAGGATAATTTATAGATACTAATATCTAAACTTAAAGATAAAGAGAAATAGAAGATTAAAGAGATTTAAGATAAAAGAACCTTTAATAGAATCTTATACTATTATATTAAATAGACCGGCTAACTATTAGAATATAACTAGACATCGCCAGAACCCATGTCAACCATAACCCAACCCAACCCAACCTAGCCCAAAATGGGTTTTGGGTCCAATTCTATAACCTATTGATGGGTTTTGGGTTAAGACCCTTAACCCAAAACCTATATAGGAACCTACTGGGTCCCTATTTTAGTGTAAATAGCGCAAATATACTAAGCTTATATGACTTCTAGAATTATAAAATTCCTACTTGTAATTTAAGGTATGAGTTTACCATCCTAAGGTGTTAAATGCTTTATATTTATTAGATATTATATTATAAACTTATTATCCTAATGAATAAATTATAACTTAAGAGCTAGCAGATTATAATAATTTAATTATAAGATAGTGAATTTGATTACTAGTAAACCTTAAAGATATCATTAGTCCGAGCCTTTTGCTTTCGTCCTGAGTGACGAGGTTGCAATAGCAGTAGAGACTGTGTTGGCTGTAGCTCCTTATGATTATAACTATCTAAGCTAGGTATTTCCTCTCTCTCCTTAGGATCTACTATATCTTCCTCCTTATGATCACTAATACTATCTATCTCAACCTCAACCTCCTCTGGATACTCTATATTGAGTTCTCAGACTGCCTTAATCTCCTGTAGGGAAAAGTACTGCTCTAGCTCCTTTGTTTCTGCTTCTTTAAGATTAAATCATGTCGAACAAAGAAACAACATATATTCCTCAATTGTTTCAGAGTTCATACGGCCACGTCGGTAATGACAGATATTACGCGCAGTATTAAAAAGCCGTTTAACACCTACACCGGTTGCTGGAATAGAGAGTATATCTCGAGTAAGCTGTATGATCGCAGGAAAACGGGATTGATTCTTACGCCAGTATTGTAGTGGCTTAATCTTAATTAGATCTAGATAGTAGATATTAGTATATAGTATTATAAATAAATATTGAGAAGAGATTATATACCACCGTCTAGATACTGGCTTACTTCGTCGTCTGTAGGCTTTGTGGCTCTTTGATTACCACTCAACATCTTACTTAGCCGTAAAGTAGATGTAGGCTGAGTCTGAGGATTAGGAGTAGATTGGTTATCTAAGAGACGGGTCTGGTATGGAGATAATGCTGTCTAGAATGATCTTCGGTACCTCACCTGCTACTTATAATCCTAGTCTTCTGAGAGAAAGAAGCGAAATCGGCTATTAGGTACTAGCATTGTGCTAACAGCAAAGATATGCCCTCGTATATGGTCTGTCTGTGCATAATGAATACGAAGTTTGTTATAACCAGCATCTAAAGCTGTTAACATTTGCTGCTTCTATAGAATATGCTTACGTTTGAGCTGCTTTTTTGCCTGTTCTAAATGATTAAAGAGTATATTGTAGAGCTTGAAGATAAGATAAGTTATAACATCCTTTGTTTTTGATAGCTCAGTAGTATAGTCAAAGAATGGCTGAGTTATACAAAGTAGATAGTCAATTTGTCGCTACTCATTATTAGTCAAGAGCATCTCTGTATAATTATATTCCTTACAGAAAGGCTCAAATAATAGGCGAATTCGCTTAGCCCGGCAAAGCATTAAGAAGGTAGAGTTCTAACGGGTCTTAACATCTTGAACAGGTACTAGTCGAGGTTCTTTTGGTTGGAGTTGAAGAAAGGTCTTACGACGTTGAGGACTGGCATTAACGTATATAGCCAGATATCGAATCTTATTGAGTGTTGCTGTAATACTGTAGTTCTGGGTATTCTTTTTTGCTGCAGCAGAATACTGCTCAGTCTATCTAGTCTCAGTATCCTTATTCTGAGGAGATGCCTTCAGTTTCCTAAGAAGCTTATTTAAACTCAGCTGGATAACGTATGTAAGACAGGGAATCTGGATAACAGTTATATTAGGTGGCAGACTCTGCTAAAGGGCCTTAATCATTGTTTTATTGTTTGTTGCGTTGTCGGTGGTGATTCTATAAATCTGATCTTTAATCTAATATTGCTCCAGAATCTGAAGAACAATTTGGCTCAGGTTAGAACCGCTGTGTACGCCATGCACTAGCTTAAATCTAAGCAACACCTCTTGGTATATCTAATTTGTATCTACAAAGTAAGCAGTTATTGCTATAAATGCCTGATTATAGGGTGACGTCCAGCAGTTAAGTGTAAGCAAAAGCTTAGTATTAGGAGGAAGGGTTCGGAGGGCCGATTGCTAACGTGTTTCAACAATAGAGTGTAAGCGGCGACGTATTGTTTTAGCAGAGGGTATTAAGGGCTCAGAGGGTGCTGAACGGGCAATACGGATAATCTTGCTAAGCTTGGGAGCTTCGAAAAGTTGTATCGGTAGTCGGTTGATAGTAGTAAACTGAAGTAGTTCCTCCTCCTAGTACTCTTGTGAAAAGAGGATTTCGACCAGAATAGTACTCTAAAACCTACGATTAATTAGTATTATATATGTAAGAGAAATAAGGTTATACCTTTGTTTTTAAAAACCGAGAAATCCCTAAGCCTCCTTTGCCCTGCCCTGCCTGGATACAGTTTGTAGTACCTAAATACTTCTTTATTGTAGAAGTCCCTTGGTAACCTTTCTTTATCAGAAGACTATTCATTAGATGCTCTAGAATTGTACCGCATCGCTTACATATAACCTTAGGTATTCCGTTCTTGATTAATGCAACCTGATTGTATTCTTGCCAGACATCGCTACTTCGGTTCAAATCCTATACTACTTTGCTTTCCCGCCCAAAATCAGTCTCGATCTACTATTTTACCTAGTCGTTATGTGCCATATTGTTATATAGTAGATATTCTTTTCTGCGATTAGGGCCAACGCATAGAAGTGAGTCAGGGATTAGTGGAGGGTCAACTAGGCAGAGAAAGTCTGGCTTGCTGTAAGGCTCAAGGGTATCGATAAGATATTGATTCTGGCTACCGGAAGATGTAGTAGTATTCCGTAATAGGGTCAAGTAACCAAGAGTCTCTGTATTCCTATTATATAATGATGGGACAAAATTAGAATATTGACTTTGACTCTGTGACATAATTACCATTAATTGATTAAGGATTTATGGTAAGGCAAGGGAGAAAGAAAACAGGAGAGGGAATACCTATACTAACAAAGAAAGAAAGAAAGAAAGAAAAAGAATTGGCTTATTGTATATAGATTGGTTGTAAAAGGAGATACATCAGAAGAAGATAGCCCGTTATTCCTGCTAATTTGGTTCTGGTGTGGGTTAAACCCAGCAAAACCCAGTAGAACCTATTAATAACCTGTCAAAAATCTCTTCTAACCCATTCCGACCTATTCTAACCCATTCCGACCCATTAATAACCCATTTCGACCCATTGATAACCTATTCCGATCTATTGATAACCTATTTCGACCCATTAATAACCTATTCCGACCTATTGATAACCTATTCCGACCTATTAATAATCTATTCCGACCCATTAATAACCTATTCTAACCTATTAATAACCTATCCCGCCTTATTAGCTAGCTTTAATTACTATAGATCTAGAATTTTTATATCTTTTAGAGATATTTCAGCTGAAATAAATAGTTTGTGTACTAAGTAGCCAAAGTGTAAGACCTTTATATTTCAGCGGAAATATAAGATGCTCAGCCTTTACATGAAAGATAAGTATTTTGTTTAAATAAGTAGCAACAAACTGTAGAGCTACTATCTTCAATTTATATTGTCAGAGAGTGTAGAGTTAGACAGACGGTATCTATTAGGTTCTTATTGGCTGTAAAAAAAGGAGGCGTATGTATAGCGTAGTAACTAATAATATTAGTTCAGACGTACGAGGGGTGATCAGCGGTACGGACGAGCTCAGGGTTTAGTAAAATAGGGGGGCTGAGTAGCTTATATATAGGATTCATACAGCTTATATGTAGGATTCATACCTTAGAGAAGCAGCAGAGTATTTATATAGGGTATACGTCTTATAATTAGTATAGGTGTAAGTTTTACTATCACTAGCATAAGTTTCAGGTTCACTAGTGCAGTAACTAGTGTAGTAGTAGGAGGAAAATAGGCTAAAGCGTCGTAAGCACTCGTTAATCCTCAGATTTTGGTTAAGCTGTTTGAGCAGAGAGAGTCGATATCAAAGATCGTAGTAAGTTAGCCGCAGGTACAGAATAGGTTTAGGCAGTTAAGTTGGTCTTATACTGATTAGTCTCTGTATAGGAGAATTATAGATTATATAAGGAGAATATATGAATATTCGACTTATACTTAACTCAGAAGTCAAGATAGATACTTAGTAACAGTCTATAGAGAGTAGAAGCCTACAATATTTACATTAATTAGTTATATTAATTAGATATTTAAATTATCAGAGATTAATTAACCTTAGGCTACTTTTAATTCCGATAAAGATCAAATTTGAGTAAATTAATTTTGGTAGCTAAGTGGCAGCTTGAAAGTACACTGACTTATATCTATAGAAGATATATATCTTTGTCTTCTAAGTAAAAAATAGATATTAGCCTAAGGCTACACTTATATAAGGTGGTTATATAACTTAACTAGCCCGTCGGTAAGTTAAGGCTAGCGTAAGTTCGTTACCCGCATTATCTTCTCAAAACAACCACGCGTCTTCAAAAAATAAAAATCAATACCTAGGACTCTACGATTAATCTTTTAGTAAGTATCTTTAAAATACTGCTCGATAATTCTCCTAGTCTTAAGGCTATTTACCTCAGTTAGATCTGACTTACTAATTTTAAACAGATATTATGGCGATCTATATATATATTAATTTTGACGCGTTCCTAACCTTATTATTATCGCTAGTCTGCCGCAAACTTTAATTAAATAAAAGATATCAGCTTTATAACAGTCAGCAGAATAACCATTCTGGTGAATAATCATTTAGTACGTTTACTGTTATTCTTAAAAACTATACCTTTGGCTAAGTTCTGGCTAACATAGTTATTATAGGCGCGGCCGTCTTGGTTTTAATATCCCCGGCGTCGCTATCTCTAAGCCTTAGATTTCGGCTGAAATCAAAGGCCTGTCCTTATTTATAAGGCCGCTGAGATTCCGCAACTAAACGCGCCTTCTATATCAGATTCCTATTCGAGTATACCTTCCTTATATTCAAACCTCTAGGTTACACGTCGCTACATCTAAACCTCAGATTTCGGCTAAAATCGAAGGCTTGGCCTTGTTTACAAGGCTGCTGAGATTCTGCTACTGGTTGTGCCTTCCTTCTGTATCAGATTCCCGTTTAGGCGTACGTACCTTCCTTATATTCAAACCTCCAGGTTGTACGTCGCTATATCTAAACCCCAGATTTCGGCTGAAATCAAAGGCTTAGCCTTGTTTACAAGGCCGCTGAGATCCTGCTGCTGGTTATACCTTCCTGCTGTATCTGATTCCCGTTTAGGCGTACCTTCCTAATATACAAACCTCCAGGTTGAACGTCGCTATATCTGAACCCTAGATTTCGGCTGAAATCAAAGGCTTAGCATTGTTTACAAGGCCGCTGAGATCCTGCTGCTGGTTGTGCCTTCCTTCTGTATCAGATTCCCGTTTAGGCATACGTACCTTCCTTATATACAAACCTCCAGTTTACATACCTGTCAACGGGCTAATTATAGCCCGGGGAGGATATCAGCTTTGATTATAGCTATTTCAAACTTAACTTCTTTAAACTTCTTCTCTTTTATCTCAGTTTCTTTCAACTGCTTACCTCGAAACCAACGGAACCTTCGATCCTTTGACAACACAACTCATTCAACCGCTACCTGCGCGATTCTTTGTTCACCTGCGGGTATTTGACCATGGCGCCAGACGTAGTAAACGAAGACAGACTTCGCTTACTTCTTGAGCGTTCTGTTTCTCTAAGCTGTACTATCTACAATACAGACAACCCTGATATTGAGGACAACCTAAGCCACAACCTAAGCCGCAACCCAAGCCGCAACCTAAGCCATACTGCAGAGATAACCCTATAATTCTGCAAGCCTGAGAGTTCTACTACTTCTTCTGCTCTAGTGTCAAAGAGTGCCTTAATTTCTGATTCGGCTAAAATCCAAGGTGGCTTCACAGTAGAGGAACGTACCTTTCGGACTACGTCTGACTTCACCGAATGGCTTGCAACTTTGCCGAAAACGGAGGTATATCGAATTCTTAACAATTGCTATGATATTGCCTTTGAGCAAATTAACCTTATCGAACAGATCCTCTGTGATCTCTATCTCTGGGCCCAGCAAAACTAGGTCTATAAGGGTACCTATAATCTTGCTGAATTCGAGGTAAAGTAGGCATCGGTTACTAAGATAGCCCTTAAGCGCGCTAAAGATGCGAAGACTATCCAGTCTATTCAGAACAAGGCTGTGTCTAACTGGGGAACCGACGTACAGCGCCTTTTCACTTATCTCCGCAACAAAGGTATGTTCGACTAAGTGAACAAGATGCTTCGGCAAGGTCTGACATTTGACTAAGTTCGCAATATAATTAATAATTCAATGGTTAAACGTCTTGGTGTGTTAGGCAAAGGTTTCCGCAGCTAGAGGTATGTTATCCTGGGTGATCTTGAAAAGGTTACTGAGCTTTGTAAGTTCCGGAGACCTAAGGCTAAAGATATTCGTACCTCTAATCTCAACCTTACTCAGGATGGCTTTTGCTGTAAGCGAGGAAGTGGTATTACTCCGATGGATTGTGACGACGAACCTACTGGTGATAATCCTGACGATACTACTACTGCCGATCTGGATTATGATCGAGTTTAAACTATCTCGCTATTACTACAACCTCCTCCTCCTGATACCGATATGCCGGATGCAGATAACGTTCTTACCCTTGGTCTGCCAGAGGATATTCTAATAGAAGATGTACCTCCTCCTACTGACGCTCTAGTGCCTGAAGCTCAACTAAACCAGGCTACCTCACCTCGGACACGCAGATTACTAACTGATTGTATATATACTATTTGCTGTACCAGTATAAACCGTGTGATTTAGATAGCTTCTAAGCTTGGTACTCTTCGTGCTTGTCTTGTTTTGCTCCGTTCTTTCGGAAAAATAATCTACATGCGTGGTGAGATTGATGAGCAGAGTCTGTGCCAGGAGTATGCCTTAAAGCTGTTTGAGCTCTTTTAAATGAACTCAGCAAGCAAAAGCTATAAGCAGTTGGTTAGCCGAATTAATTTCTTGTATCAGAATCTTGATAGCTTTGACAATGTGCTGAAGAACAAGGCGGCCTGGTTTCTGCTGAAACCTAAGCCTACTGATAATGACTAATGTGGTTTTTATCGCTGGGTACCTGAGCCTACTGCAGCTATTCCCCTGATTATAGACTTTGTAAAATGCGAAAAAGAATAGCTATACCCGCTAGAGTTTGTGCACTGCGTTCTTCCTGATCTTAGACCTGCTGCCCAGAAAATTTTAGCAAACAGGCTACCTTAAGACTTAAAGGAAAACGGTTCTATTGTGATTCCTGGGCTTTTTAGCTATCTTTCGACAAACTAGGACGGCCAGCATCCTGATGGTATTATGCCTCTGATTTACGAAGAGATTCAGATGTATGAATACTATTTCCGGCCTCGACCAAACCGTCTGCACCTTGGTTGGAATTGCGTTATGTGGCACAGTCTAGGCCAGCAACTGATTCATTAGGATCTTGGCTATTATATGAGCTATGTCTTTTTTCGTCCGGATTATACCTATCGCCTGGTATCATTTCCTTACTACTGCAAGAGTACGTAGGCCGGCGAAAAAAACCTTCTTCTGCCATATTAATATCAATATCGATGATTACATCCAAACTAGCCGTAGGCGGAGTATTCTCTAAGGCTCTGTCTTACTCACAAACGAGGATGCCCAAAACTGTACTGAGATTCTACCTAAGATGCATAATTATATTGGTACCTGGTAGACAGATGTCAAAGCTCGCCGGATTGCAGCAGGCAAAGAGCCTAAGAACGGGTTGGTCTAAGGTATCGATGCTACTATATGGACAGCAGACGATGCTCAGAGGTATCAGACTAATTAGACTAAGCAGGTATGTTAAACTTACAAAGTATCTTT